CAGAATTTCTCTGTTAAAAAAACCCCACTGAACTGAGAGTCGACAGAGTCAGCTGAATTATTTATACATGGTAGGGCCAGGAGTGTGAACAGTGTTGTGTCTGATGGTGTGGCTGGAGATAAAAAAAAAATCTGTTGCCACCGACCTCGATAAAAAAAAAACGGAAAAGAGGAGAGGAGGAGAACCAGCTGTACAGGAACGGATAGTCAAACAGTAAATCAGGCCAAGGAAATCTCAGAAAGCCCCTGGCGGAGTGTGAAAATTCCAAGCTTCCATGCCTAGCAGTGGAAGTGATGCAATTTTGCGGAGAGGAGACTCGATGTTCAAGTAAACACCAGCCCTTGGAATTAAGGGAGTGATGAAAAACTCCGTCTGGCCCGGACTCTACAAATCCACTCCCCCACAGCCCTCCCTCACCTTTGTTTCGGGTCTGCCGCCTGTGTGTTTTTCTAGAAGCTGACAGCGGTACAGGGGGCCGTGGTCAGCGACGGCGAGCGCTGCTGAAGACATTATTCTCCTCCCTCCTCTCTCTTTCTCGCAATAAAGACATTTGACAGTCAGAGAGCGTGGTTCCAGTTGGATGGGTGCCAGGGCTGTTTCCCAAAAGGCAAGGGGAAGGGAGGAGGGTGGGGGTGGCAGTCAAGCACAGGGTTTTGGGGAATGAGTGTAGAGAACAAGATGTGAAACTGGCAAACTGCGGGACTCCCTAAACCGCTGAACCGCAGGTCCGGTGTCACGAATGTCGGAAGGGACGAACCGTGGAATGGCAAGAGAGCGAAAAAGACCCTATGCGTAGCGGCGAGACAGGGGTTAGCCTGGGCTCAGCTGTTCAGGAAATGCTGTATAGAAACCTATGCCCTCAGGTAGCGGACGTGGGGCGACCTGGTGCTAGGTGGGTCTCAGGACATCCGCACCTCAATGCTGAGCGAGTAGCAGAGCAGAAGCAGGAAGTAAATAGGCTACACAACAAGACCCACCGGAAAGACATGAATAATCACAGGGAACTAGGAACAGGACAGAGTTAGAGCGCCCACTCGGTGTACTGGGCGTGACATCTGGGGCCTAAAAGTGCCCCTGCCCACGTCCACCACCGCATGCACAACCTGACAATGGAGATAACGCAGAAGTGGTGTCTTTTCAACTCATCCCTCTACAGCAGGGGCAGCACACTGATGCTCACACGTTCTCTCTCCTGTAAGATTATGCGGGGGTCACATCTGTCCGGCTCACTATTCACATCGCTCAGGATTTGCGATTTGTAGCAGCCTTTTGCGTGCAAACTCAAAACAAAGGTGCCCAGTTTCAGTCCCTCACATGGGAAACATCAGTGTACACATGCATTAGCATATACAAAGTTCCATCAACTAGCCTAAGCACCAGAAAATGCAGCTTAATATTGCACAACTATAATTAAACAACAGAAGAGCACTGTTTAATAATGCGGTCTGTTCGTTTCAAATATGCTGCACTCAAGTGATGGTGCTTTTCATGTTGTTTACAGAAATAATGCTATTTTTCTAGCGAAACACTTCAGAAAAAAAAGACAACAGCGTACATCTGATTACACAAGAACATAACTAGTACAGCTGATTTTAGAATACACACAAAATCTGTATTTAGAGACCTGTCTCATACCAGTTCAACCCATTTGTCTTATTATGTATGTTATATACCCTTCCAATTTGGAATTTGCCAACTGCATGTTTTTCACATCTCAGCACTACAAACCCTGCAACACCACATGGGAAGAATAAGGCAGAGTACAAGCCTGCTCTAACCTGCACACCACTGTGCATTTACGACATCACAGGAAGCAGAGAAGCACCTCCCTTGCCAACAATACCACCAGCCTGCAGGGGGCGATGTTTTGACATGAGCTGAGGGAGCCCTGGATGAACGATGCCAGCCCTGCTTAGGGAATCCCAGTCTCAGCTGGTGTGACGTGAGACAAGCTCGGACCCATGTCCCCTGCAGGACAGAGCTCAGCCTCTGTGTGGGCAAACACTTTTACCAGTGACCGTGCAGTGCAAAAAAGGCGGTTTCAACAGCATATGCCCCCGTGATGGAAGTTTTCTTTCTGACACAGTATGCAAAAATTCAAAGTACATTAAAATTCATCTCCCAGCAAATTATAGGACAAAACACACTGTTATCTTCTAGAACCTAAGAAGAAGGGGGGCCAGTTTTGTTTTCAATTCCGCACCAGTTGACAGAGTAAGCATGTTATGGAGCCCAGGAGCTTGTTCTAAAATCCCAAGGTATCTTACAGAGTGAAGGAAAATAATCCTCAATCATCGCCAAAAGAACCGCTTCAAATCGAAGCAACTGTCTTGATTACAAGCAAGAGTATTAGAGGATTAAAAAAGCAATAAGAGTATTAAAATGTTGTGCTACTTTTTCAAGGAAAGGAGATCGAATTAAAGCACACAGAGAAAGGCTTGCATGGCCTTACTTGCATGTAACTGTCCGAGAGTTGTGCCTTAAGTTTAAAGGCACTGTGAAGCAATGAATAATGTTTCCTTTTATACTAAGTGCTCTGTAAACTTCGTAGGAATTAAAAGTTTCCCAGGCGGAGAGTTGGAAAGTGCCACTGTACTGTGGAAGAGACGCCTGACTTCAGCAATGCTCATCAGGAGACACCAGTGAAAGATCAATCTTGGTGACAGCATAAAATTCCTTCCAGGCAAATCGGAATGATTGGTTTACCCTTCACCTGTTTTACGTCAGTATTAATCGCCAGTCATTATTCTTGAAACCTATCTCTTTCGCCCGTGAGAGCGCTGCATGCACCTGCTTAGCAAAGATAACATTTAGAGAAGTGATGAAAGCCGGAAGCCGGTGCCTCATTACTCAGTAGAAAACCTAAGCAGCAGTTTGCTGAATACGGGATCCCATAGTTCCTACATGGCAGATGCTAAAGCTGAAACCTGATCCAAGTCTGAGCATTTCTTATCAAACTGAAACGCACTTAACAGTTCTGTCGAGGCTGCACCAAAATCAGCAGGAGTGAACTGAACTTCACAAGAAAGGGTCTTACAATGGCAATTGAATGAAGAAGCATAAAAAAACTGTTTTCTCCTTCCACCAGCACTACGAAGACTTCATCACAGCATACCTGGAGACACCCGGGCGGGAATTTGTACTGTAGCAGTAGCATGTCCTTCGACTGCCATACAATTGACTTTTTTTTTTTCATTGAAGCTGGAACACAACATCTGCATTGCTGATATTCATCTTTTTTTTCGAGGCAGCGAGATGACTTTAGCAGATGGTACCTTGTAGAGAGCAACATGGCTATAACAAGATCTCTTTAGCAAAACCGCCTCAGTCTTTCCAAAGAAAATAAGACTGCGAGGTTGCACAAAATGAATAATCCCTAGGCATGTCACAGTTTATGAAGGAGTGGCTGAAAGATGTGATCCTATCTAATGTCTGCTCTACTGAAGGCACGGACTACTGGCAGCATTTTGCTTTTCCTGACTAATGTGAGGCCATGAAAGCTGTGTTGTACTGTCCAGCATTCCGAAAAGGCATGGCTATCGGTAAAAGGTTTGAGCTGCGGTAAAGTAATGTTGACTCAGCGTTAACTCCCACACTGATGATACATAGGTTTTTGCTAAAAACAGAAGTGAAAAACCCATTTCATGTCAAAAGAAGTATCTTTCTTGGACAATGGTTATAAAAAGGATGTACAGTCACACCTTTAGAAGAAAGGAGAGCTTCTGAGTATCTGGGCCTGGTGTAATTGGCGCAGCCCCTGCTTCTTTGTTACCTTCTTAACTGTAAACTACCTCTCCTGTTCACCTTCATTCAGACTGAAGTGGCAGGTTCTCAAGGTACGATGAAGGCTTGGTGGCCTGAACCAGGTGAAAACACTGTCGCGCGTTTCACAAATCTGGCAAGTTACCATCTCTCTGCGCATCACCGTAAAAAAAGCAATGGAAAATAAAGTTCGATGTTACTATATAGAACTTGCGTTGAACTAGAAATGGCAAACATACAATTTTCACAAAATCGGCAAAAGGTTTGTTTATAAGATGCTGAAACAAATATTCAAGAAAAATCTAGAATCGCTCATGACAGATAATGCTGTTTTAAGTCAGTAAATTATAATTTTCTTATTCTAGGCTTTCTGAGATTAAATTGCATGGGCGTTCAGCATCTTGTATTTCCTGTTTTCTCTTTACCAATCCACACTGTGGATAGCCCCAGTTCTCGTACAAGTCATCGGTACATAGTAGGAATTCCTGTATTTTTTTTCCAAGAAAAGATTAGCAAGTCATGACCGCCCTGGCCCAGCCAAGGACGCCCCCCAGTCCCTGTCACCAGAGATCTCACTGTGTCCCTGCCTTACAACCCCCCCCACCCCCCACAGAGAACTGGCGTGTGGAAAGTCTGTCCCTGTTAATTACTGGCTCAGGCCCCTTGATCACAGACGCTTTTCAAAGCTCCTCTATTACTTCCAGAGAGCTGAAATCAGTGCATGTCTCAAAGAAAGTCTATAAATTACCCTGAAATCCCACTGGCCTCACACTTGGAACAGAGCAGAGAGTGTACGAGTAGAACACAAACATAATGTAACTGGAAAAGAAGTGGATGGCAAAAACAGTGTCCTCTGCTTCCTCCCCGCAGACAACTCTATTACTGAAGCAGCAGCGCAGCTTGTCCTCCCCACTCCTGTTACTTCTGCAGGTGGGGTATTGAGTGTTAAGAAAAATATGATAAATGACAGACGGGACTAGGGAGAGCTGAAAAATAATGCTGATAAATAAATGGACCCTGGCCAGCTAACTGAACGTTTGACCCATTCAGGCATGGCCTTCTAGAAAAGTAAGTGATAGATCAAAAGGGAAGTCTTGTCTCTGCACGGTATGTATTTTCCAAGGCCGATGGTTAAAAGACTTTCATCGGGGCTGCCAGGTTACTTTCATTTGCGTCTCTCCACACAAGACAGAGAGCCTGCCACCAAAAGCTGTTTTCAAGCCGTAAGGGTCCCCTACCTTGTGGTTTTTGCCATGTCGATATATCATCCAGTCTTCGCCATTGGTGCTGACCTCCAGCTTGAATGTTGTGACATAGTAGATCCGGTGCGTCTCCTTGGAGATAGCTCCCTGGGTGGCAATACCAGTCAGAACCTTCAGAAAGTTCAGGTCCACCTAAAACGTTGGGACACAGCCGGACATCAGCTTAGTTATCATGTTCACCTCCGAGGGGAGTTGTTTTAAGGATGTAAAATCCTACATATAGTAGTACAGCACAGAGTTTTACCGTCTTTTAATCTCAGATTAGTTTCATATATTTTTCTTCCTGCAGCTTTAAAAAATACATTTAAAGTGATTTCTTCTCCTATCTCATACCCTGCCCCTGGGCTACGGTACAAAAAGCCCTCTTTTGCAAACTTTCAGTTTACTTGTCTTTGGGTTACCCATTTTTTGCCTCAGCAGCCAAGACGATACTAGTTCTACTTCAACAGTGAGTGAGTGCACGCTGCTGAAATCTACCTTTGTCCACTGTTTACAGGGCAGAAATCTAAAATGTTTTCACCGCCCCCCCCCCCCCCCAGAATCTTTGGGAACAACCCGCAGTACAGTAACTATCAAGAGGCAGCACAGTCATCTATCGCCTTGAGGTTTAGAGCTAAACGCAATCCATCTTGTCAGTCGATGAGCCCACATTTTAAAACTTGTTTGCAGGTCGAACAAAAAAAAAATAATGCACCTAGACACTGTAATCAATAGGTGAGAGGAATGCTGTAAACCTGTTTATTCCCAGGAAAGGCCTCTCTCATCAATCATATGATGGTTAGCATCAAACCTGCAGTGAACCACCAGCCAATGCTAAAAATGGTTTGGTTTTCCTAGGTCATAGATGGGAGATAAAATAGGGTTCAGACAACATACCTCTGCTATGAATAATGCTTTAACATCAGCAGAAAAAGCTTGGGGAAACTTAGATGCTTACAAGCGTTACAATCATGTTAGTCCCACTGGCTAGTGCTCTTCTAAGTGGCAAACATCATGAAGCCCACAGAGACTGCAAGCCTATAATAAGGTGTCTCCTGCACCCTTTTGCAATGGAGCACGAGCCACTACCCTCCTTGGGCCTGCCAGCAATCACACAGATTACAGCAAGGAATTGGATACTGCACTTCTACCTTTGTGCTCTTTAAAGCGGGAGTTCTAGAGTGCAGGCAGTGCTACTCTGGCTCCTCATGTGTGCTAATACAACAGGGCAGCTGAACGATGAAGAATTGCCATCTGATGGGATCAGATCATGTTGACTTGGCCATGCTAGCAATAGCCTCTGGGAATACTTCTCAGTCAAGTGTGTGCCCACTATTTTCTTAGGGTTAAACAGGTTACTTTTACCCTGATGTGTTATTGCAGTAGTAATCCTGTCCAGAACAAGAGGAACGACAGCTTCAGACACTTGGTGCGCATGCTTGGGTGGGAAGCCAGTTGTGCCAATCTCCCACTTGTGGGATTATAACTGAACACCTGTTAATCAGTATGCATCGTAGAAGGTGGGATCCCAACCTGTGGTCTGCAGACCACTCACAATCCATGCCTAAATTCCAGGTGATACACAAGTCCCAATATTTCATCAAGCTGCTTCACTATAAACTCAGTGTAATACAATGGAACATATTTGACTTTCCTTCAGAAAAATAGTCATTTTCTTCACAGGGAATAAAAACAGCACTGAACATTTGGCACTCTTATGTTAGGTAAAAGATTGGTAGGTTATACAAATTGGTTTTCTATGTGTACAAAAATAGAGTATATACACAAAAAGAATTACTTTCCAATGACTCCTGTGAAAAACTCTTTGACACAGGGGGAAATCAAAATCACAAGATGATCTTTCACATTGAGAAAGGATGTAAACGGGTGCTTTACCTGATAAAATCTCTAAATCGGTCTTGTTGTTCTACCTCCCTGGCCTATTGAATTGAGTGTGCCCAGTATAGACATAGAAAACAGTTTTTCTAACAGGCTTTCCAGCACTTTAAGCAAAAACAAAAAGCAGTCTCACAGCTTTATGTCAAGAAATTGATCTTACGTGTTTAAATTAAATGTTCTTTCTCATTCAAGTGGTGAATCTCGTCGTTGTGATTAAAGGGGCCATGTGGAATTGAAAAGAATTTTGTAAACTTTTTTTATACATTTCCCACATGTTTTGCCTTTGATTGCAAAGTCATATGTTCAGCTCTTGTGCTATAAAGTACATTCCCCACCAGTGGGATTTTAAGGCTGCTTCTTTATACACAGGAACAAAGAAAAAACAGCATTTCAGATGTGGAGCCGATTTGTCAGTTTTTTTTTAGCATGTAATTAACCTCAGCTAGGTTCTTAGCTATGGCTTGTATGATGACATGGCTCATCACGCCAACCTTTAGGAAAACCTGCCATTCATCATCCAGCCAGCAGGGGTCTCCCTTCCAAAGGAAGGTCAAGAGATAGCGTACCTGAATGTACTCCTTGTTGCTGTCTTCAGAAGGAGTCCAGGCGTTGTCTTCATTGTTCAGACGGGCCTGCTTGGGAGACCAGCGACCATCGTAGAAAGTTGAGGAGGAGCTGATCTGCTCGTCAGAAATCTCCCCAGATTCCAAGCCAAAAGGGCTGCTACAGTGAAATGCTGCAATAAAAGATGGCGGACGTTTGTGAAAAGGAAGGAGTGACTTCCAGAAGCACTGTTTACTTCTGAAAGAGCAAACTGCCTGGCAATAGAGGGTACAACAGGTAATAGCAGACTCAGGACAAAATATTTTTTCTAGAAAGACAAACCTGCTCTGTTTTACCTTTGCACCTCTGTCAGGTGATGGGTGTTAAATGTCCCATTTAAAAATGAGTCCCCTCTAAATCCTGAAACGTAATCCTATTTTTGAAATTACAGCCACCATTTTACCTTATGCAGCTGTTTATCTTGTGGACAGTTTGTGTTGCTGAAGTTGCTCCTTAACAGAATAAAGCATTTGACTTGGCTATATTGATATTACTGCAATATTGCCAAGAGGCAATGAACAAAATAATACAGTTAAGGCTGTCACGTGTCCCCAGCAATACCGAAGGCCCCAGCTGTGGTTTCATGCCTGTATCCTAAGTACAGGCTTGTTGAGAACAAGGTTATGAAATGCATTACTTCTGACACTGGGTTTGACTGAATGTCTTGATTCGTCCACTCTTTGTTCCATCATCTGGAACTTCCGATTTGAATTAATTATGCAGTTCATGTCTGACAGCAAAAAACATCACAAACTCAGGCAAAACAGCCACAGAGATCAACAGCATTGCGCGTTTAAAATGCAGTGGACGGCACTAAAAAAGAACATGCCATATTCACAGCGAATTAAAATATTTAAATAAAAGAGTACTGTTCTGCCATGGTTCCTCACACTCAGTTTATCCTCAATTCAAGCCCTGAACCAGGCCTCTGCTGCCTAAACTTACAAAGTTATTGCAGAATGTTTAAAGGGACATCCTTCCAGGTGGGAACATGACACATGACGGTGCAAAAAGGTGAAAGAAAGTAGAGGCGTACTCACTGTCGCTGGCCTCCTTGTAGGTCATATTGTAGCGGGCGGAGAAGCCATCTTTGGCGACGGCCATATCAGTGCGGAAGGTCAGGGAGAGAATACCTGTGGAGGAGTGGATCTCAGGAGGGATTTTGACACCGCAGTACCTTCCGATCACAGGCCCCACTGCCAACAGATAGAAGAGACATCTTAGTTCCGGCACCCAACAACAGGCCGTAAGTCTGCTTTCCGACCTGGTTACCAGTATCTACACTGACAAATTTAAATTAGTACCAACAAGCCCCGTGGAACTATTGGGCTAGTTTATAATTTGAACTATTTTTAAACTAGACTTATATCGCTGACTTTTCTGGACACTCCACACAAAGCACTTTACAAGTGATGGGGACTCCTTTCCACCACCAGCAGTGTGTATCCCCCACCTGGATGATGCTCCAGTCCGCTCCCCACACACCAGCTCTCATTGGGGAGGAGAGCAGAGTGATGAAGCCAGTTCACAGATGGGGATTATTAGGAGGCCATGATTGGTAAATGCCAGGGAGAAAAAGACACCTTTGGTGAACACTACTATTTTCAAGAAGCACCCTGGGATTGTTGATGACCATAGAGTCAGGATCTCAGTATTATGTCTCATCTAAAGGATAGTGACTTTTTTATAGTATAGTGTCCCCATTGCTATACTGGTGCATGCCGTCTCACACAGACCACGGGTTGAACACCCCCTACCGGTCCCACTAACACCTCTTCCAGCAGCAACCTTAGCTTTCTCAGGCTTCACAGGGTTGCCAGTTGTGAGTTGCGGGGTGATATAGCTGCTGGCTATGTATTTGGCATGATTATTTTCATGAACACCTTTGAGAAGCACAAGACTCCAATGGATTTGTGTGAACTGTGTTAAACTCTTTATTTACTAGGTCACACAGATATTAACTCTTTGTGGAGAGATCTGGTTTCATTAGGGGGAGATGAGGTTTCTATTGAATTGCGGTCGCTGGCTTGGATAAGACCACTGGATTTGCTTGAGCTTTCTTGATTAATGTTCAAAGTGATTTGTGTTAACAGACGCATTTTATTGTAAGAGCCTTTTCAATGGCCGCCTTTCTAATCCAGTCCTTCCTTGGACTGTGACAGCTGTACTCTTCAATATTGATTGTGTTTGAAGACGAAACAACTAAGAAGCAATTATTGAAATGGTATTTCTCGGAAAGATGGAACAGCTGAAAGATGGAACAGGACGGTGCTGAAAGTTCACCTTTTTCCTTCTTCATTAATGTCTTACGTGTTGCATTTGCTGCTACATCCACTGTGTGAAATTCTCGCAAACTACTTTTGCTACTTTTCACAGGACCCAGGCGAAAACAGTTAAAGGCTTCTGCAAGCAAGGAATTGCACCTGGGAGGACAGATAAACAGGCTGCCTGTGGAGCATCAACCATTTTAATGTGTTCCCAGTGGAAATATTTTATCATATTAAATAAATACCACTAATCCTTCATGATGATGCCATTACTCTGTGACATTATTAGAAAAAAGAAGAATCACTGAACTTCTGAGCATGCCACGTCCTTGGAGAGCTGCGCAAATGCAAGTCGGTGAAAGCTAAATGTCGCATCACTAGGGGGAGAGGCGTAGTTGAATGCGGTACCAAAGCATTATTAAGGCGGATGTGGGGAGAGTGTATTTTATTGCTCTCTTCCCGATGAGGATGAAATCTCTTTGTGGTATTATTCACACCCTATTTTTGTACTAGTGATAAAGGTTAACGGGGTGGGGGCTGATATTTCACTTCCCCCCCTTAACGGAATAATAACGCTGCAGAGCCAGCCGATAAGAAAGACCGGCAGCGTGCATCTCTCACGCACTTTCAAAAATAGCTGTAATAAAATAGGGGCAAATACCATTACAGCATTCTGCCCTGGTGCTTGACACCAGCTTTGGTATGGAGCCCACTAAAATAGGCATGACGCCGTCTTTTGTTCCTGGACAATGCAATGCAACAAGTTGGCTGTGTGCTTGGCTTAGATCGCCTCTCTGTCGTTAATTTGGCCATTCAATTACACTAAGCGAAGGCAAGCACTTGAGAGTAAGAGGCTATTCATACGCATTAGGATGAGGAGATGAGTAATTACTCTATATACCATTTGGTAGTGCATTAGTAACCCATGATTCATTCGTTGACATTCAATCAAGTCAGTACAATATATCTCAATAGCCATCTATTTTTTCCATTGTATTTTTATGCCCTTTGTTGTCATCTAGCAGTTGGACTGACAGTAGATAGTGAAATGATTGAATTATCCAGGCCTCTAATATCAGAATCATTATGCATATTAAACTGTACATGTCTGATCACTGTGAAGCAAAACGAACAGAAATGGTTAAATTAAATAAGCTTCACCAAACTAGTCCTGTCATCAAGTGTCAGATTATTCCTGGTTCTGCACTGCACATGACATTTTTTAATTCTTCCCTGTTTTCAGTGCATCATTTTGCTGGAAAATTGTGTTGGGATTTTCACGGCAAGCTTGTATACACTTTCTGCCCCCAAGGAGAAGGATTAGCAAAATAAATTACACATGCTTCCCTCCCAATAAGCATGGATAGTTTTTTTTAATACTAGCTGATGACAGAAAAACTGCCAAAAAGAGAAATGTGAACAATTTCCTTGTCTTAGGATTTTCTTACCATAGTGTAATAAAGTTTTTATTGACCTAACCCCATGTCTGGTAACAAACGTTAACATTATCTTCTATAGCATTCAACAGACGTTACAGCTGAGTATGTTGGTCCCAATGAGCCATTCAGTGAACACAAGACACATTGATAGTGCACAGACAGTGCTTAAGCCTTGTTAATACAGGGCTTTATATAATGTGTTGTGAAGTAATGCTATTTGGTACATTAACTTAACTACTTGATATTTTACAGGATGCACTATCATCCAGTAAACCTACACCATTTGCAACAATGAGAATCCCTCCCAGTCTGTATATATGTCTGCGAAATTGTCTCGGAAGGCAATCCTATAGAAAAAGTAATAGTCTGTTTTTCTCATGAATGATACCCTTGGTCATGAAAAGCTTTCTGTCGGTTTTTCTCGGCAGGGAAGGAAGAGAGGGGGTGAGGATCTGTACCTTGAGGCAGCCCATCCCAGATCTCCAGCCAGTCGTATTTGCATTCCCCCTCGCCCACATTCAGGGGGTCGTTCTCCAGGTCAAAGGTCAGGAACTTCAAGGTGACCTCCATGCGCGGAGGGACGATGATGATGAAGACACACTCCAGGTTGTGGGGGTACTTGTCAGGGAACCCGGGGGATTCAATGACACCAGACAGGTTGGTGAAGTTTTTGGAGCAATCTGAGCCTGTAATAATAATAATAAGAAGAAGAAGAAGAAGAAAAAGTTTGTGTAAGTTCTCCTCGTGTTTGTGTAGGTTTCCTCCAGGTGCAACAGTTCAGACACGTACTGGTTTGCCAACTAGCTTCTGGGTAAATTAGATCTGGTGTGAGTGTCAGTGTGCGTCTTTGTATCTGTCAGCCCTGCAATGGACTGGTGTCCCATCCAGTCCCATCCTAACCCTGCCTTGAAGAAGTGTTGTGCAAATGGATGAATAACGTGAAGAAGGTCCTTATTTTCACTATCTGACATATACATATAGCAGCTACAGCTATAATGGTCTAATTGCCAGTGGGTGACGGGCGTTTGGAAAGCATGTGTTGCACTCAGCTTCTTTTCTCCTCCACATGCTGCTGGAGAACGAAGCAATACTGCCTGGAGGGAATTCTTCCCAGAGATCATTGATCTAGACAGGTGTCTTTGGAGGGCGGTTATTAGCAGACTGAGGGTAATTTGCTACATTGTTAGGCTAATAGCTTAAGTATATTGTGGAGAAAGCCTGAGAGTGTAAATGGCCTTCTCTGTTGACAGGCCAACAGGAAGGCCTGCTGAGTTCTGGAGACACAGAATAGGACTTGGACTTAAAGGGCAAGTACTGTCTTTGACAGAGGCACAGCTGTCTGAGGTTGGGGTTAGTGGGGGTGAGCTGAGAAGCTGCAAAGACTTGACCTTTCCTGTCAGTCTCTCCGACACACACTTAACGATCCTGTCTGCACACCCATCTGCTGCTCCCAGCGGTTTAGGAAATGGATACAATGAAGAGTTCATGGGATGTCACTGGCAATCACATACAGCATCTATCGATTGATGTACAGAAAAATAGATCTTGTTCTATCACACCAATGCACCTATGTAATGTGATTGCAGTCGTACCAGAGGAGCTGCAGCTTCAAACAGGAGCGCTAAATAAACCCCCAAACGAGTGATTTGTGCTCCTTTTTTGACAAGCCTAATCAGCTGATGTCACAAGCAATTTCGCAGTGACTCAAAGCGGATGTGGCACTCCAAGTGAGCAGTATTTTCCTGGCTTTACACTCTGGAAATTGTTCAAACAGGTAAGCTATAAGTACAGGGCAAGGCCTTTAGGAAGTGAAATCTTTCTGCATGGGGCTTGGTCCTCACTGTCATGTAAAAGACAAGTTTTGTGTCTCGTGCTTCCAGGAAACTCAATCAAACAACTTGATTAAGAACTCCTAGCTTAGGAGTTACCCTGTCCTTAACTCTTGACCTGGGGAGGGAGGTGGGGGGCAGTGTTTTTTCTGGTTTTCATTCCATCCTGATCCTGATCCTGATTACTTGATTTCAATAAAGAGTTCACCTAAATGGTCCTTATTACAACTACTTCCAGGTCTTTACTCACTGAGGCTGGTGACCTGATGAACTGCAGTCCCACAGGACCCAGGGTAAATATCGCTGGAGCCTGTTATCAGATGTGTTGTTGTGTGCAAGAATAACTGAACTGAATGCTACCAGACAAAAGGAACGCAGTGTCTAGCCATTTAATTAGTATTTTATGGAGCCTCCTAATAATACATCTGCAACACAGTTCCTTCCAAAACAGGATGAAGAGGAGCAGCAATGTGTTAAGAGCATGTTGCATGCTGTATGTTTCCATTAATACTGTAGCTACCTTAGCCTAGGAACTCTGATCCTTGGCCTCAGGTTTTTAATATTGATGGAGGGAATTAAACCATCAAAATCAGCAAGTAAGTGAGTCAGTCAGCCTTACTTGAGCCCAGATGAAATGACAACTTCAATCCTCTCACTAGTCTCAAATTCCAAAATAGTTCATGGAAGCTTTACACTGGAATTTTTATGCCTTTGGAATTTCAAACTGGCAGATGGCTAAAGGTTTTGATCTCGTTGGAGTTTGAGGTTTTGTAGCTTACCAATCGCAAATGTGTAACTATGGTATGTTACGGTGTTTAAAAGAAAGCAACCCACATATCGACATTACCAATAAAAAATAATCCAGTGAAATTAAGGATTTAGGTCAGGGGTCTCCAGTCCTGGTCCTGGAGAGCCGCTCAATGTGTCTGTAGGTTGTCAAGGGCTCTTTAAAGCAACAGGAGCAGCTCTTTCACCAGTATTAAACTAACTGAAGTTTTTAAGAACCCTGCTGGACTGAAGACCCCTACACACCAGCCCTCTAGGAGCAGGATGGGGGACTTCTCCCTCAGATGGCTTGAGGAACTGTTTCCCAATTCTGGTCCTGATCCTGGGGAATCAGCTACCTCCTGTTTTTTTGTTCCAGCCGAGCTCTTTACTTAATTGAAACCTTAATTCGACTACCCGACTGTTTGCCACGAGCCTTTGATGATAAAATGCAACAGTTTAAAGGCAACCTCCAACATGTTTAGGAGCGGAAACTAATTAGAGAGTTCAAATTATTCCTATTTTTAGGCCAATTAAGGGTCTCTTTTTGCAACTCTGAACTCAGCCAGAACCAGCAAAACTCTGGGTCCTCACGACTGAAAAGAGAGAATCGCTAACCTAGACCATGCTGCTGGTTTCCTCCAGAAAATAAAAACAGCACTGGCCTGTATTTACCCGTTTCCATGCTCACAAATACCTGTCAGGTAAAAGGACCCAGCTCTTTACAGCTCCTGCTGGCCAGAACTGAGGGCCGAGGAAGCGCTCATGTGCTTCAAACAGCGGGTGTTCTGTTGCACTAAATGAAATACCTGCAATAGCTCAGCTATTTATACGCTGCAATGCAAACTCTGACATGAACTACACTGCCTGTTAGCCACTTGCCTTGATGGAGCTGGCAATCAGAGATTCAAATGAAGCTGCTTTTTTTTTTCAGTTGATTTGTGGGTGCTGCATCTGTTTCCTAATAACATTATGGAAACGAGAGCCCTTCCAGTTTTTAGGAAGCCCCTAGCTCTTCGTCACCACCACAGATGCGTCAAGACCTGCCATTGTATTATGGTCACACGTGAGAGAATTAACTGCCGTGACTGCAGGGCAGTCCCCAGAGCAAATGCTTTTCACATAGGGAGTGCACTAACATGGCCCCAGGAAGAGATAAGAATGGAGAAGGGACTGTTCCCCTCTGGCAGATTAGACAACCCTCCTGCCTGCCACGGCTCTCTGGGTGAACTGTCACATCTTCATCACAGGGAAACTGCGTTTAGGGATTCGCTGGGGTACGCAGTTTTGTAGGAATGACTTCATTCTTCCTTTTTTAATTTATCTTCCCAGCTAGCAGCTAGCAGAGCACGGGCTCAGAATCAATATAAAAGCATGGCCTGTCAGTTTTGTAAGCTTCTCTCCTGCAGTACCTATAACATAACCCATTACAGCAGTTTGTGTCTTAAAAACAGCGGCCACAGTTGAAAAGCTTTACATAACCACCCCTGCAGAGTTTCACTGAATCAGCATGAATGTAGGGGTGTGTGTCAGGTCATCTTGAATTTGAGTGGCACACATGAGTAGCTGCTTTATGAAAAAGCAGCAGAGCTTTCCTTATTAGGTCATCCTTGGAGAGGTTCTGCTCGGGCATTTCCAGGTTTGCCTCTACTGCTACGACTCACCGATTCAAGAGTCACAAAAACATGTTTCTGATGCTGCCACAAGTGCACAGGGCCTGAATTCTAACCACACAAATCATCCTTCGCTTCTAGTTTGTAAACCAAGGCGAGGGCTCGTCACTCCAACGGTGATTTCAATAGTTCCGTCAATTCGTTGAGTTCGGACAAATATCAAGTAAAAGCCTACGTAATATTTTAGTGTTTGACATTTAGTCACACTAATGAAAAAATGACAGCCATGACCAAAAGGTGAGGCCTGTAACAATCCCCCTCATTTGCAAGGAATGAACCAAGGAGGATGCTGCAAGGGTGAAGATGGGGTGAAGGCAAGGGTGCGTGTATAAGTATTTATAAATAAGAGAGTGAAATGCAAGATTATTAATGACTTCTGTTTAACAACTCCATAGCCAAGTTTTTAGCCATGAGTGAGACATGGCATTAAAGACATTAAAGACAGAGGCCACATTCAGGGCTCAGACTGTGCTCAGAAGAAATGGGAAAAAAGTACAAATTAATTGAAAGGCACAACATCTAAAAAACAAAAGAGAACATAGGGACCTAAGTATTATGTTTTTGAGAGCTAATTCTGAAATATTTAACTGTTGCAAATTGAGAATAAAAATATAGGTTAATATTATAATATATATATATTGATATTTACAGAAAAAAACAGACAAAAGACACCTGGGAGAGTTCTTAAAAAGTTCGAGATGAATCCATAAGGTTGATTCCAGCAGGTTTTGCAGTTCAGTCAGAAAGACATGGGAGAATGAAAGGTAAAGTTCGTGGAAGAAGATTAAGAAACACTTGGAATGGTTCGTACTTGGAAAGAATTACCAAGCCATGGCATTAAATCAATTTATACAAAATTCCTTGAACTGGCCAGCTTGAAATGCTTATATAACAATTCAGATTCAGTTTTACTAGGAGAAGATTATTGACTAGGGGAAGTTGATAGAATTTGTGGTGTATCACTCTGCAGGCTATTCAGCTTAAAGCACCACATGAAAATTACTGTTATAGTTCAAAATAGGCTTGCAAAGGATTAGGACCAGCAAAGAAAAACAGATAAAAAGTTACATGAAGAATTCATTTCCCCTCTAGTCTCTTTATTTTCTTCCCACAGTGAACCGATTAATACAAACAATACCAAAGTCTTGCAGTTCTACAGTTCTTTAGTATCAATCGCTTCAGCCAGCGTTAATCTAACCCAGAAAGCGCCATTCAAGTAACTGAATCGTCGATTAGGCACATGATAGGATTATTACATTTACACGATGGGCCTGTTCAAACTTTTGCCTCTTCTCATGGAGTCGTATACCGTACACGGTTGTGTAATTGTGGAAACATCAGCACCCATCTGGCATGCTTAAAACTTTTTTTTCTCATTGGAAAAAGAAAATTGCAGCAGCAGCAGCAGTCTGCTTTGCGGCATGGTGCCCTTCCAAACTCACCGCCGAAAGAACACTCTAAAGAATCTACTAACCCAAATAAGAAATGCTTTCACCCCAAACCCAGCAGTATAACCCAAATAAGAAACCTACACCAAGGAACTAAAGGCACACAGGTGCAAACCTGCTGTGGAAATTGCGCTTTTGAGGGGCCAATTTCTATTACGACCCAAAGTCAGACAACCGCTTCAGGAGGGGCCATTAAAGCATTGTGTTGGCTTGATCTCTTTTTATTGGTGTAGGTGCCAAACTGGTTCAAAGTGCCAGTTAAGCATGTGACAGCGGTACATTTCCTCATAAATGAATAACTTACAAACTAGCGGCTACAGGTTGAGCGCCACACGGCCTCAAGGCAGTTTCAAAGCGAGCCGGTGGGAGAGTGAGACCGGCGGACACGTCTGGACAAACCTAGCAGGATGTCTTCCTGAGGTAACCGTGGTAACCTGAGTGAACTATTTAAGGCCTGTTGGGGTTAAACGTTTTAGCTGTGAGACTAAACCTCAGAGATCAGTAGTGACAACAGGACAAAAGAGTCAAGTTTCCTTTCACTCCCCAGTCCAGAGGTGACATGACTGAGTCTCTGTCCTTCCTTTATATCAAACCCCAAAGAGCTCGCAGAATTAAGCATGTCCAGGAGGAGGGGGGTCTGTAAAAGAGGTCAGAGGACGAAACCTTTTAATTAACCTCTTCCTCTGGACCACAGTGTAGGCAAGAGCAGAACACTGCTTTGTGGCCTGCACACTTTGGGAATCAAGAAAAGACATGTACCTTTTGTCGTGACAGCCCTTCGAATCAGTGACAGGAGACAGAGTCCCACAATTCGTTCAGCAGACAAAATGAGAGCTTTGACAGCTGAAGACAATAATTCATATATGCAGGCCAAATAACTATTTCCAAGGAAATCCAGGCAAGACAGCTTGTTTTTTTTTTACTAACAGAGCATAATTTCCTGTCATACAGGAAAAGAAGGATTTGATTCAGTTTTTATTCCAGCTAATGGCAAAGCAAAGCCGGCACACCTCTCTGCTGTGTATTTATTTAACATCCTATCAATGAGAAAAATCACTGGCCCTCCCACAACAGCAAGCAGGGATGAAATGTATACAGGCGGCCTCCACAGTATTATAAATAAACAGATTTCACTGGGTTTTTGGCAGCTTTGGGCTCCCTTTACTCGTAAACAGCGGTTTTGAAAATATTTGGCAAGAGGCTAACATGTTAAAACAAACAACAGGAGAGGGAGGAGAGAGGGGGGCTGTTATTCGTTAAGTATTAACAAACCAGTTTGACACACACAAATACGAGCTCCCTGCCATCACCACAGCAGAAACAAGAACCTCTTAATGCCATGGCAACCGCATTCATATCTCCACAAGCATCTTCACAAAAACAAAAACCCTTCTGTTTCAGAGAAGGGGAAAGTTTAGTTTTCAGCATTTTTCTGATGCAAACTAAAAAGTAATTGACAACGTGAATACGTTTTCACAGAACACAGGAGAGCCCTGGCAGTTCTGACATCATTTACAGTAATTCGCAGGACTCCGTCTAGTGGTGATTTGTTCCAAGAGACGGGTCTGTTGTCTGTGGAGGCTTCCTGGGTACCCAGTTGTAAAAGGTTTAGCATGGATTTTGTAACTGAATCTGCATGTCTTTTTTTAAGTGGAAAACACGATATAATATCATTTCTATCCACAGTCTTTCTGAGTACCTACTGAAAGAAAAAGATTTGAACTCAATTCACAAGGTGAGAAAGGTCCAATAAGAGGTTTGAAATTTGATTTTGAGGCACAGCATTTTAACATTTTCCTTCATACCAATCACAAACTCAAAAACTGACACAATCTCAAATATATTTCTGGTTATGAATTCCTTCAAGAGCACGGACCACTTGTTACTACTGTAAGAAGGTCATGGTCAATGTTATGCTGACAGTGTCTGACACCGGACACATCTACCGTACAACTTGACAAATCACAAAATGCCCAAATAACAAAGAACCAACTGGAAGGGCTAATCACCCATTTGCATCAAAAAAGTGGATTACTTCAGTTGTAAACGGAAGAAACAAAACCATTTGCCTGTTAAATCACAAACTGCTGATCGTTAATTGGTGATCTTTGTCAGCAGTCCTCAGAAGAAAGCTTGCGAGGAATATATCGTCAAAGATGGCCGCCCTGTCCGCGACTGAACGACGGCACTCACCGGTTTTCAAGATCTCGTAGCGCAGCGAAAATCCTGCCCCTTGGTGCGCGTAGTCGGACACGAATTTGATCATGAGCACAGGCCCTGAGGAGATGATGGCGGGCGGAGCGATGTTGCTGCAGTGCTTCCCCAGCAAATCCGCCGAATCCGAATTCCCGTCGCGGATCTCGATAAAATCGTACCTGAGGAGAGGGCGGGAAAAAGAACATTTGAGAGACCATTTGATTTCCACTGACCATTTCATTTCAATCATTCAGCTCTATGATCCAGTCAGCCAGCCCACTATGGGGAGATGGGGTGGAAACTGTAAGAAAGTTCCGTTTTAAACTATTTTGATTAGTTCTGTTACAGAAGTCACAAAGGCTAGCAGGATATCTACCAGGTGAGGCCACGCAGTGAGATTGGAGTCAGGTTTAATTTATTGGTTCTTCACACAGAAAGGAGATAGTAATAGGGTTGAGTTTATATCATGCATTTCTAATTAGGAGAAAAGGAAGGCCAGCAAACCTCGGTAATTGTGTAATTTTCTGTGTTTTAAGTCCATACATCTTCTTTTGATTGGTTTTTCCTCTTCCTGTGTTCGCCTCAGCCCTGAACAGCAATTTAACAGCCCCAAACTTCTAAGCCTCTATCCATTTAACATATTAGTATTTTTAAAAAAAGTTATTTATTTCCGTGTGTTCCTAGTTGGAATATAGTACTACCTGGGTAAAAAAATATAGTACTACTTGGGTGAAAGTTTGTTTTCTCCAAATAGTACATATTTTCTGTCTCTATAAACAGTGAAATATGTTGTACTTTTATGTCCTGTGCATTACTCAGCACTGTTTCCTTGCATTGCGTATATTTGATCTTTGAAACCTCCAGAGTTACATTCACAAAGCAGAACGTAAATATCCCTCTAAATTCACTAAAATTATAGGTATCCCAGCTCTGTTCTTTAAGTCTTTAATCTCCACCCAGGGGAGTTCACAAAAGCCTCTTCAGCCACCATCAGTTGTTTTAGCCATTCTGTTGAGTAATCATTATTTGACAGGCTTGCATTACTATGCTATTGTAGCAGTTCCTTGTGTGTGTTTTAGATCATTCCTTGGCTGCACAAAGAACCTTTAAGTTCTACAAAAGACACCCATCCACCCATCCATTGTCAGAAAGCCTTCTTCCTGGGATGGGTCGTGAGAAGCCCGGAGTCTATCCAGGAAGCTAAGGGCACAAGGAGAGTCCTTTGCAGGGAGCGCACACTCACAGACACAGGGAGAATTTAAGGACACCTATTAATCTAACCAAGATGTCTTTGGAAGGCAAGTGGTCTCCAGAGTTTCTGGACAAACACCGGTCTCCCTAAGAAGGTTCCCCAGTCCAGACTGAAACCTGGGACCCAAGAGCAATGACCGTGACAGCCAAACACAATACCTAAAGAATGAAACGAGGACACCGTTCCACCACTGCACATGCAGACTTCAAACATGCTAACCTCCTTTGGGCAAAACCCTGGAACTCCAAAACATTGAAAGGGACCTTTGAAGTTGTGTTATGCTGTCAGTCCCATGACTTTATACTCTACACTTATACATTTATAAAATCATATCCTTTGCTGTATTACCTCAAGACATTTGTGAAAGATGTGTTTGCTCTCAGTAATAAATAGAACACCCCTCTATATAAAATGGCACTTCTTGGTCTGTTGTTCAAGTTTTATCTGATTGCATAAAGAATTAAAAAGAGCAGAGAACCCCACACGTGGTCCTGGAATGTTGGTACAATCTGTTGGTGTTCAGTGTAGTTGAATATAGCCAAGTTAACACCTTCTCCCAAGTCCCAGAAAAGCCCCAGACACAACGGACCTCCAAGACTAAAGACTGGGGACCCCAGGTTGAGAGAAAGCATCCCCACCCTACTGAAAACAGGCATTTCTGTTCATGTTCAGTTTTGTCCCAGTGCAAAATTTGACAGTGGTCTTAAAATACTGGAAGAAATTCTCACTGATTAAATGGAATGGATTTGCTGGGCAAAGACATGAATTAATAGGTATTTATTGTCCCCAGCAGGATTCAACAGGTGTCTTTAAAAAGCTACCCTGGAGCAGAACTGATCTACAACTTTGCTAAAAAAAAAGGGTGGCTCGATTTTATTACACAACTGAACACATGTAGACCAAAAATGTCAGCTCAAGGAATGTGATACTTAGCAAGGCAACACCAAGTAATTGAGAGGGTTTCAAAAGCAGATGGCTTTTTAAACCTCACAAAGCTTGTATATTGCTATGAAGTCTTGCACTGTACAGCATGGAGCCAGAGGAATGCTTTGTTTTATAGCCAGAAATGCTGCATGCTGCAAGGGCAGATTATAAAATCCTCCAGTTCCTATACATTTCTGCACTCACAATTAGTTATTACTCCAGTAGCAATAATGACATTCTAACTAGGAGTAGTGCAAGCAGAAGCTGTTTGGTATCCATGCACACTATGTGCATTTGCCAAAAATCTAGGCAAACAAAGGCAGTTCCTGGAAACTTCTGTATGTGAGGTGTAATTGAGTTGTAATTGATTTTACTGTTACCAAGGATTAGTGTTCGGAATAAGTGTCTTTTATGTGGGATTGCCAATCTCATTGTCTCACTCAACACAGCATGCCCGAGGATGAGCACTACAGAGACTAGGGACAAGAAATGGCAAACCTGTTCCCTGAATGTCTTCTGAGAGAGACTATAATAGTCTGTTTACAAGTACGACGGCGACACAGGACATGGGAGAAAGTTCACCAATCTTTGAACACCAGGAGCTAAAAAATCATTTTAAACGTATCATTCCTGACACCTCAAAATATTTCCTTGACAAGAGTTTGGACTATGATGTGGAGAAAATAAGTGGTAGCTTTTTTTTTTTTTACAAAAAAACTCACCCGTGTAGTCATGTTGTCATCTCATTCTCCCGGTCACAGGGTAAACAGAAACCACACAGTCCCGTGGGCTGTAAAAACACTTCCGCGTCTCCGTGTCTCCCTGACATTACCAGGGACCAGTAGACGCCCGGGTGTTAATTGCCTTTCTCAGGTTTTGTGTTGTTTTTTTGGCAGATTTTTCACACCTGAACATTCCCCTCAAGCAGCAGGGAGCCTGAACCTCAGGGAGCTCTGAGAACGGGCCTTTGTTTACAGTCTGCACCTTCAGCCACCCGTGCTGGGGTGAGACTACACGAAGACACCGACAGCCCCGTTTGATAACACCTCCCCCCCTCGCTCCCCACGACCGAAAAACTTTGAATACCATGCAAGTACAAAAATATGTGCTGCGTCAAAGATCTTTTTCTCTTGGCAGGTCACTCTAAAAATGGCTTCTGATCCATGAATAAGAAATGACATTATAAAAAAAAACACCAGGCCAAAAAACCACAATCACCTAAGGGAACCTAATATGCTATAAGTGCCTTTAAAATATTAAGTAGATGTTTGAAGGAATTCCCATAGAGACTTACACTGCTGCCGTTTTCAATTCTGGCTGAAAACAAGTACTAACCTCAGTCTCTTTCAACCTGTCATTTAGAGCTCATCTTAAAAAAACCAACAGGAAAGATATATGATGGAGTCCATCCTAACAGGTATCGCCAGGGGTTATCTCTGTAATACTAATGATTGCAAGAAGCGCAAACGCTTGCTATAGACTGTACTTTCGCTAGCACTCAGGTCCACAGATGTTCTTTTCTTCACAATAAGAGACTTTGTGATCAGGAAGATGCCATTGCAAAGAAAAGGCATGCTGGAGTAGGTCTTTATCAGGAAGAAGACTACGGTAGCATTTCTGCACTGGTATCTGCTTTGAACTTCCCAGCAGCCGAGATAATAACAGAATGAGCAGAGTAGTGTCTAATGAGAGCAGATATGACAGTCAGTCCCCAATGCAGTACTTCACACAGTGGAGACAGTGGCAGCCTGCTTCATTAATGTGTGAGGTAATGGCAGTCTTCAGACAGGGGGAAAGGCTAGTGCTGACACAGACAGCGCAGGCATAACATCACTGCTCCCAATGTGAACTCGGTGAACTTCATATTGATTCTTCATTAAAACAGGAAAATTGATTGATTTAATTCCTCCCATTTTTGGTTCGTCCCAACCAGTTACTACCGGAGAATTACATCACTTGTGCACCAAAGACAGACACAGCCCCTGCCATCCCCTCCTCCACCGCCATTCCAGGCATGCTCCCTCCAAATCAACTGCAGATCAATTCTTGTAATAGACTGACATGCAAGTTGGGAGGTGGATTTGAATCTCAAGTGGAGACGATACTTTTTTGTCTGTTGGGTCTTAATTGTCCTCCTGTCTTTCATATTTTGGGAGACAGTTTCACAGTTGCTGTTCCTTTGTTTTGTGTCTGTTACAGATTCATTTTCTGTTTGTTTGTTTTTTGTAATGCAAAAAAACTCAAGCTGTAAACGCATAATAGAGTCAGGACAGCCAGTGTAGTTGGCATGTGTGCTGGTCCACAACCAAAACGGGTGTGGTTTGTGATTAAACCCATTTTCCCTCAAAGCTCTGTACCACTTCATCACCAACATGTGGTTCACAGAAGGCAGTGGAATGCGGAAAAACAGCCATGGGAAAGAGAACAGTTTTGTTCCCACCCCAGAGGATCCTGATTAAGGTAAGGTCATACAGTAGGCTGTTATCAAACAAGCTGAGAAGTCTCCGTGCATTCTTGAAATAAGATAAAGGTGTCAACAAGAAATGCAGCACAGACAAATGCACAAGATATTCTTTTAGAAAGCACACTGGACTTTGTCAGCTCACAACGGTGCATTAGAGTTCGGTCTGTGGGACAACTCACAACACCTCAGACTCTGCCTTAATCGAGACCACCTTCCTCATCCTCGCCCCACGCTCCTTGTGAGATGTCCAAACAGTAACAGAGAGCACAGAACCGTGGCAAAATAATTCCGTAGCCTTGACTGCACCAGAAACGTTGCAATTTTGTGCAAATTGTGCAACTTCCGGAGGGCTTATCTATCCCGAAATTAAGATCAAGTCGTGCTGGAAGACTTTATCCCTTTCGTGAGGAGACCCCATTTCCATATCTACCTTCTCCTGACGCGATGCGAGCGAGAAAACTGTTTCTGGGCAGCTCGCTCTTCCTATAATAGTCCACTGAGAATAATAAACCCAGACAGAACTAATCTCAGCACAGGCA